TTTGTTAATTCATCATTAATGAATATCATGGAGGGCAGATCTTAACACATCCTTATTTTTAGCCCTTCAAATGACAAATTGCCCCAGAAGTTCCCTCTCTCCAGATCAGAACAATTCTAATTTACAGTTTGTATTTATTAATAGACAGATCATATCAATTCATTTTAGATCGGTATTTTTGCAATCTGAATCAGCTTTTTCTTCAGTAGCTTACAGTGAACTCTTTTTTTCTAGTTTTTCAGCATAATTGCTTTGATGACTGCAAAGTAATTGCAGTCTTAGGCTTTTCTTTCAACATGGTATTTAATTTTCCAGATTATTATTCCAGGAAATTATTTAAACACTAAAGATATTTATAATGCTCTAGTTTTAAAAGTGCATGTAGTAATGGACTGTTTATAAGTAGGCACAAAATAGGTAATAAAATGTACATTTTACACAATGCTATTTACTCTCAGTTGTCCCTGTAGTTTAAATAGAGAAAAGGAATTATTTAATAATGATTAAATTATTCAAGTATTAACTACTCGTAAATATGAGGATGAGTATTATAAATGCCATTTTAGTTATATAATACATCAATTTTATAAAGAGCATTCCATTGTCACTATTTATTGAAACTATAAAACCTGGTGTTGTTACATCAAATGTTCTGTCCCTATATAGTCAATTTAATGCACTGGAATAAATTACTCTGAAAATTGGTAATTTGGGTGAAATTTTAAGCTCTTTAAGATCTTAATTTTGAGTTATTGATGCTTATCTTCAAAATATGACCAGCATATATCTATACTTTGAAAGAGAAATGTACATTTTAACTTAACTTTGAGTATACTTTCCCTCCTTGCATCATTTGTTCGGATTTTAGATGCAAAAATTACAGCTATAACTTGCTTGAGTTTAGGTTGGACAGCTATAACTTGCTTGAGTTTGGATGTTTCAGTTATGTTGATTCTTTCTCCAACCAGAACCTTTCACTTGTGCACTTCTGCTGCAGTTTCTGAATCCCTGTCATTCTGCCTGCCGGTCTGATTGTACCCCATGGGCAGACCCAGCCCTTCCACAGCCAAAGTGTCAGGTCTGTGCTGACACTGCTTTTAGCACACCAAGGGACAAGCAGACTAGAGTCAACACCAGATATAGAATAATTTATTGGGCAATGGCATCCTCAGGCATTATCATTGTTTTGTTGCGTGGGAAGATGAAATCCACACTGCACAGAGCTATTTTAAGAAGCAGATTATTAAGATCTTGGAGTCACGAGATAACAGGCTTTGGTCACCCATGGGTTCTATGTGTAGTTTAGTCTCTGTTGTAGCAAAGCTATGAGCTGAAAACTCTGGCTCAGTGTTTCCAAAGTAAATACCTGCAAGTCTCAGAGTTCTGTCCATAAGTCCAGGTAATGCAGATTCATCATTGCCTCTCCATGTCCCAATTCCTGGTTTTCTGAAGAGTACTTTCTTTCCAGCAGTACTTCTTTCTTCCTTTCTTTTCCCTCTTTGCTTAATGCTCAACTTAAAGGCCAAAAGGCAGTTTATATACATGCTATAAAGGAGGCTTCTGAAATGTTATCACATGTGCTAAGCCACTACCCATTTTCTCTGCCAGCATATTGTAACAAGAAATTAATATATAGAATATGGGATAGCATCCCTTTTTTTATTTACAAAATACCTGGTTTCATGGGGATTAGAAAACACTTTCTACCATCAATACATTATCAAGGACCCCATGCCCACATAGGACTTCACTGACATAAGAGACTAGAGGTACAGCAATTGTTTTATGTCATTGCTTTCAGATAGTCCCAAGAAGTATGGCCTGACTCACATTTAGCCAGAATAAAAGTAAAGCTAAACTGAATTGTATTTGGAGAAAGAATACTGGAAAACTTCTCTGTTATTTTTTTTCCACAGGAACATGTGTAATGATGGCCATGAGGAGGTATCCAGGAGTTTGATGCTGATGAGCTGAGGAAAATAAATTTGAGGGGGAGAAAAATGAAAACTGTTCATGAACTCATTTCAAAATAAACAGAAGTAACAAGTCTGCTTTTAATTTTTTTTAATGAAATGCAAGAGCAAAGCTTGTTTTGAACTGTGAGAGGTCCTGTCTTGCAGTCATCTGTCCCAGTCTGTATTTAGTTTACTCCTGCTAGGCGACAAGTCCCAAGTTCTCTACTCCTGCCTGTAGTCCCTGCTTTGGTTAATATTGATACAGCCTCTCAAAACCAGAGGAAGTAACAAGTCTGCTTTTAATTTTTTTTAATGAAATGCAAGAGCAAAGCTTGTTTTGAACTGTGAGAGGTCCTGTCTTGCAGTCATCTGTCCCAGTCTGTATTTAGTTTACTCCTGCTAGGCGACAAGTCCCAAGTTCTCTACTCCTGCCTGTAGTCCCTGCTTTGGTTAATATTGATACAGCCTCTCAAAACCAGAGTCTCTGGTGTGGTTAATATTGATACAGCCTCTCAAAATCAGAGTCAGCTTTAAATCTCTGGTGTTGCAGGCCTTACATAAACAGTTCCACTGACTTTAAGAAGTGCCATATCCATGCTTGCATCCATGGCTTGGCACACTGTGAGTAGGATGTCTTTTTCACCACTGGCTTTAGCAAGTCTGCAGAGTGATCAATGCCTGCATTCCACCCTAGAATGCTTTGCTCTCAGACTGAACTCCTCCTGAGGGCTGACTGAAAGGTTTTCCAGGTTGTGTCTGCAGCTGTGCAGATGCCTTTAGATCTCAGAAACTGAACAGTGCTCAACCAGGAAACTTATGAACAAGGCTGTTTTATCCACACTATAAGGAACACAAACCTGGGCACAGCTCTACTTGGTTCCTTCTTTTCATTTTTATCTTTACAAAGTAGAGATAAAGGAAATAACAGAGCCAGGACTGGGGTGGCCAACTCCAAGTACAAATAAATCAGTGCCCTTGTTTTAAGGGTTTGAGGTGTAGCAAGGCTTAGAAATGCTTGATAACCAGAGCTGGAGACTGAAAGAAAAATAATAGGAAAAAGAACAATCTATAAATGTTTTTCAGATATTCTGGACCTATTCATGTTGATGCTGCTTCACTGCTTCAGTGGAATGCTACCAAGTCAGAGCAGCACAGCACCTGGTCCTGCTGTTCCGTTCAAACTCAGAAAAAGGAAGATTTGCTTTGCCTGTTACCAAAGAAGGTGTTTTCTCTGGGCTGACGCACAGGAGTTGTTTAACAGCTTATACTATTTAGCCACTGTCGTCAAACAACAGACACCAACATATTTCATCCAAATAAAATAGAAAAGGAGTTTTAGACACCAAAGTGGAATATTCACAGTAGAGTTGGCAAGGGTCCTGCTGCTAAACCTCCTTTTAATGAAAAAAACAGGGAATCTTTCTGGCATGCTTGAACCCTGCTCATAATAGCACTCCCACCAAAATGTATGGAATTCTTTCCAAACTTAAACATATACTCACCAATTATTCCTTCTTTTTATTTTCTGAAAAAAAACCAACAAAAAACATTATATTTTAATATATTTTTAATGTCTTGATTTAAATCACAGTTTCTTAATAATCAGTCTGTATTGTAGGCCTGGTTTGACAAATTTAGTTAAGCTGCAGGACTACTGGTTTGAGCAGGTAACTTCTCACTTGTGATGAGCACAAAACAAATACTCCCTGTACACTAGTAACAGAAAAACTCTCAGAGTGTGTTTGTTTTCCTCTGGTGAAGACCAGTTTTATTTATGACTCAGGGCTAAACTATCCAGGAAGTCAGAAAGCAGCACTTTGGAATATGTACAAGCAACACACTGCTCCTAACCTGATGGCTTTGATTTTACTGGGACTAATGACATAGTAACAGTGTGATACACCAACCTTGAGTATGGTGGTGTGCTAAGACCCTTGGATGCTCAAAACTCAAGACTATCATTGCAATATGGATCTCCAAATTCTGCCTTGCTGTTTCGAACTTCCAACACACTAGATTCAAAGGCTAAACTGTCTGCCAGATTGTCTTGTTGCCCTTAGGATACACTGAACTCCTGACCTTGACAGTTTCAGATACAAACAACATCCTCTTGAGCTTCACTTTCACCCCATAAAAATTCAGATAAGCCCAAACCTTTTTTTCTTAGCAGCATTTTAGATTTTAGACATTTTTAATTTTCTGATTCATACAAAGTGAAAGAATGGTGCTTTATAAATCCAGGACATCCATATATGCTTTCAGCATGTAAGCCTTTTTTTTCCAGAAGGATTTAGAAGCTGCAGCTCCATGAAAAACTTCGAAATAAAGCAGTCTGAAACAGCAACATCTGCACCTTTATTCAACTGATCAGATTGATTTCATTCTTCTTTCTAGAACATTTATCAGATTGCAGGATCAGCCAAAGTTCTCCTGAACCTAATGGAGCATAGAGTTAGTGGGGCCAAGTTAGTTGTTCATTATCAGTTCTGTAGTTAGTTATCAGGTAATTATCAGTTCTGTAGTCCCTGGAAGGTGAGGCTAGCATCATAATTAGCTGATTATTTTTTTTATCAGTCAAAAAAAATAAGGATCAGTTTGGTAGTGTGGGAGTAGACTTCAATGCAAGGTTTGAATGCACACGTCTGGATTCATAAACTATTCTTCTTGCACTGTCTCTGCATCATGTTATGGCAAACATATGGTTGAGGCCCTGTGCAACCTGATCTAGTGAGGAGGGTTGGGATTAGATGACCTGTAAGGTCCCTTCTAACCCTTAAATTATATGATTCTATGTAATTAGGTTTATCTCCCTTTTCTGCTAACAGATAGGTGCCACAACATTTATTGCACATCATGACAAGGCAGGTTTTCACAATAAACAGAAAGTTTCTGTTAGTACAAATCAGTAACAGGAGAAGCCAAATACTCAATAACTTCAGATCCTGTCTTCTTATCTTCTGACATGAAAGCAGCATCAGGAATTTCCCCTTCCTTTTCTTAATAGAAAAATTCTAAGTTCCTCTACTCACATGACACTGGAGCCACTTACCAAAACTTAGTTGTTTTGAAAGGTGTGTTGAGACTGAAGAAAGATGACACAGCACCATCTTGGGACAAAAGAACTGTGAAATTCAAATGCAAAATCCTGTACTGGATTGAAGATTCCCTCCCCATTTGCACACATACTGTTCTTATTAGCATCAGTGAGATCCATGAATATTCATCCAAGGATGGATTTTGGTCCTCAGATGTGACTTAGTAAAAATTTGTGTTGTTATGTAAAGAAATTCTGTACTTACAGACTAAAATTATCAGCAACAAAGTGGCAGAGAGTCCTCCCAGGAAATATCTGAGAACAGAACACCCAGAAAGGTTAGAAAAAGCCAACGGATGCATATTGGGTTAAAAGAGATGAAGCCTGGGTGGGAGGAGGAGAGTGATGCTGAGAAAAGGCTGGAAAAGAACTACTCCCAGCCTTGTATTTCTGAGTAGCAGGTATTTGTTTATTCAGCACTGGGCACAAGGGGAATCGCTCCACCAAACTTATGCAACCAGAGACAAAAACTTCACAGTTTATATAAATTAAATACTCATACATATTCATTATTTTCAGGAATGGGTGGTTATTATTCTTATTAGTTCTCAGAAATCATTATCATATACTCCTCCTTCATCTCCTCCCTCCTGGCATCAGTCCCATGGTCCTGGTGGTCGTTCGGTGGTCGTGAAGATCAAGTGCCTCCTCTTCCTCAGTACCCTTTGGACACCCTTATTATGCAACCATGTACCCCTTTGTACAGTTTTGCATGCCTTGCTGACCTTGCCTCTATCTTGTACATTTTGTTTCTTCATTCCACACCCCACATGATCTTAGTTTTCCCCCTACTGCCAAGGTTTTGAGTCTAATTAGTTCTACTGCTTTATAGATAAGGTGCATCGTTTTGCCAGCCAAGCCAAAACAATACCATTAGTGAAACTCCTTATCTATACTATGTGATCCTTGCTATTTTGCTAATTAAGCTGAAATAGTGCTATTAGTAAAGTTATTCTTTATGCTTTCAGCTTTAACTGTTCAATTCCTGCTTTCAGTCTACTTCTCAGTATCAAGAGAAGGTTCTCGAAGATGAACCCTCTGATCTCTGGTAGGTGAACTGCAATTTGAAACTTTATATTATGTCAACTATTGCAGATAATCTCCTAGAAAGAAAGACTTCAGCATTCCAAGACTGAGAGAAACACCCACTTAGAAAGACACAGATCCATTTTGATTCTTCTCAGCCTGCCAAAATCCCTGTCCAAGCACACTTGACAAAATAGTTTTCATATTTGTGTACGTATTTCTTATTTTTATCCATATCTTTATTTGTCTGCATTGGTTATCAGGTAAAAATACATTTTCAGAATAAGATATATAGAACTTTGAAAATATGACAATTTAAGTTTTATTCACCGGTTGGAGTAAGCACTAATGTCAGAACCAGAAAATAAAAAAAATAAAAATTACCTTGTACATATTGAAATGATTAAACACATGATCAGTGCAACCATCTGAGAAATGACGCTTTGCACTGCCCTGGATTCTAAAATAAAAATCAGGAAAATAATTTTAATGTGTTTTCAGGAAAGTAAATATATGACAGGAGGTGTTTGCAAAGACTACCTTCAGCCTGTGAGGCCAGTCTCTTCAGTTCCTTTTTAAGAGAACTTGTCTAGAGTGATTCAAAGCAGAAACCTCATTTTCATGCTCTGGGTGTCTCTCAGGAGTCTTTTTCCCCCACAACCACAGAGACACTATGCCCTCCATGCTCTCAGAAAACAAGCCTTTCTGCATAATTGCCTGTTTCACTTTTTGTTCCCATGCCCTTTCCTCCATTTTCCTCTTCACTCCACTTTTTTTTTTCCCTGAAGAATGGAAGAGGAAAAGCTGTGAGCAGGGGGGAGTAAACAAGCAAACAACAATTTAAAGATTTTCTTATCTTTTATCATTCCTTTAAAATGTATGTTTTAGGAAATAAATTCTATTCAGAAACAGGCCAGATCCATATTTTTAATGTATTTTCAGTTCACTCTAAACTGAGGCTTGTCAGAATAAGAATGAAACATACCTGCATTGATTAAGGTCTCTTCATTTGCATTGATGATAAATGGAGAGCAGGATTTTGAAGCACAAAATGGTTCCTCACACAGAAGAAACTCATCTTTGGTGAGAGATGCTCCATTGGATGCTGGACTTTGGTTATTATATTCAGAAGAGAAGTCTGAATCACCTACAAAAAGTGCACATGTAACTTTGCACAAAAGAAGAGCGTTGAGACTTTGTGTTAATGAATTTTGGCTGTGGGAGTAGAAATTAATTACTTAATCACAGTGGGGTTTCCAAATCGCTACAGGTAAGGAATTGTCAGGTCCAATGGATGCAGGAGAAAATATGCAGAGTAAAGACAAAACTGCACAGAGCATATCATGATGAAGTTATTGAAAGAGCCAGTGAAAGCAGAGAGTGCCAGATATTAATCATGCCAGAATAAGCATCACTGGTGATGACTTTTGGATTAAAATTCAGTCTAAAAATGCCTCTTTGGCACAAAGGTCTTTGTGGACTCTTACTCTGCTTTATCACCAGGAGCTCGATTCACCACTTAAAACTCTGTCGTCCAACTATCCTTTACCTGCACATCTTGGCAGATAACCCCTGCAAAAGATACCCAAGCCCCACTAAATACAGACTGTAACATTTTAGCTCAGTTACCTAGTATGTGGTCAGGGCTTACCAATATCACTCTGACTGGCATCTAGTTTACTACATCCATCAGGCCAAAGATCATCTCCATGGGAGGACTCAGTATTGCTAGGAGTGGTGGAGCTGAGCCACGAGCTGGAGGCACTGAGACTGAACAAGCTGGCAAGAGAGCGACGGATTTTCTTCCTTCGCCTGAACACACTAGAAAGAAAAGACATATTGTCAAGGAATAGAGCTAATTACTCTTGTTGAGCAGGGACAGAGCTCTAAAGTTTGCAAGAATGACATGAAAGAACCAGGTTTCTGGGTGCTGCTCCTAGCCCTGTTCTCCACGCTGGGAATGTCACAAGAAATGACTGCTGCACACTGCAATATCTTAGGGAGTGTATTAGCAGCAGGGCTGATCACGCTGTTGTGATCCTGGTTACTGTGGTGTCAAGTGATATTACAGTTATTGGTCTCTGATACTACTGTGAGTGTCTCATGCTACCCATGAGTTTCAGTCTGCCATATCCCACTTGGGACAGCCTGAATTCATTGAACTATTTTGAACTACATTTTATATATCTTCCTAAACTGATGTGTTTCTGAAATCAAGAGAGATTTTCCCCTGAGTAAGAATTCCAGGACTAGACCTTTTTATAGATTCCTGTATGTGTTTTATATATATTTATATAAACATATACATTTTTCTTAGTCCTCATCAGAGTAACACCCCACTGGCAAAATGAGCTGTAGCTCTCCTTTTTCTTTATTGGACACAACTCCAACTACAGGTACAACTGTGTAGTGAAGAGTTTTTGGGTAGTAAGATTAGATATGACTGAGAATCAGGTTATTTCAATCATTGCACTCCCTAAACTAAGCACTTGAGATGTTCCCATTCAGAAGCAATGCTGATCTTATGCCAAGGAAAATGTAGACAGACAAATAGATACATCTAGATAAGGCCAGAGATGTGGAGGCAATTGGCAACACAGAGTAAAGTGTGCACAGAGTTCACTTACTGAACTAAATTCTCTTTATAGGTAACACTGGTGTGGGATGGTATCAGTGTTATGTTGCCTTCTTCATCAGACAGAAAACTGTCTTCTGTCAGGACATAGTAACCATTCGAAAGCAGTCGAGGGCTGCGGCGACATGTGGAGAGAGAGCTGCTCAGAGGGTTTGTGGAACACTCACAGACAGGATCAGCCTCCAGAAAGTCAGAAATATTACTGAAAAGGAGAAATTAAAGTCTCTACTTTAGGGAATGTATAGACAGAGCAAACCCATGATTTAAAAGTAATGAATTTACATTACCAGATGATAGGGGCTGGTAACGACATGGATGTAAAAAATGTGGATGTAACATTATTACTGCTGTACTGGGGGTTTCAGCCAGCTGAAGTGTGCCTGCATCACACTTTCCAGAGCTTCAGATTACAGGAGGGATGCATGCCAGGGGAGCATTTCATGAGCACATGGAGCCAGCCTGAGCTGAGGAGTACATGGTGTGTTTCTGTGGCAGTGCTCTTGGCCAAGGAGTCCTGCCAGACCTACACCTACCTGCAGCCATCAAAGGCATTCAGTATTTTGCTTCTCTGAGTTACTCTACATGGCACAAGCTGAGTGCCTCTGAACCAGGCAGGATTTGTTTGCTTTTGTAGAACCTAGTCATACTTAATGAAGATTTAAGGATACATGACCTTTAATTCTCACAAATCCCAGAATACCATGTAGCTGGAACAACATGGATAAAGTCTACACACAGTGAAAACCTCATCCAGCACTGAAACAACTTCTTTGCACAGAAAAAAAATATGCAAAGAAAAATAAAATAATATAGCACAGAAAAATATGTATTTAAAAGAAAAGTGAATAGTGACAGAGTGAAAGAATCCAAATGTAGACATTTTGCTTAGCTCAAGTAAAATTGCATTTATGGTTAGTCCTTTCTCCTCAACACCACTGAGCTCCAAACTGCCATGCAGTGACATCCTGGAAAGAAAGGAAACCACTGGATTGATCCAGTGGCTGACCTAGGTTTCAGTACCAGGTTTAACTATCCCATGTGGCATGTCACAGGGGGATGCCATAATTTCAGTGTGGGAAAAAGCAGATGGAACAGAGATGCTTCAAAACCTTGTGATTGCACAGCCAGTGTTTCCAACCGCCACAACAGCAGTACTTCTGAACTCCCATTTAAAGCAGGAATTAAATTAATAGCACTACAATTCTAAGTGCCCCAAAAGTGACTTTTACAACATCTACAACAAAATAAAAATAAAATTAAACAATTTTAACTTTTCTCAATACCTTGGAAAAATATGTTGTCCAAGGCTGTGTCTCTGTTCTCCATTAGATGCTGTTGAACCTGCAGAGGCAAAGGTGAAACAAGAAGCTGTTACCATATTCCCCAGCAGGTACCTTGTGTGTACCACAAAGATCATAAAAGAACCTAAAAATGAAAAGGAAATTAAGGGAGGTATTAAAGGAGATAAACCAGATCAAAGTATGGGGAAAATACATAGTGTTTATAGGAAACTCATCTCAACCAGGACAACACAGAATCAGAGTCAACCAAAATCAGACACTGGTACCCTGCACAAGCTTGAGAGAAATGATTATAGACACGAATAAAATAACTGCAGCAACTTTAATGGTGTTTTACCAGAAATCTGCTTCATGCCAAAACCAGTACAAGTACTGGCAATAGATACAGAGTAAAAGGGAAAGGCCATTACCATTACAATATATTTTTTCAGATGAAAATTGCAGACGTAGCACAACAAGCACAGGGATTGCAAAACTGACAAATACTTGACAGTAATATTGTAGCAGAAAACTAAGGAAATAGGATTTGTCTGGATTACCATGGCTCAAGTCTGCAAAGTGCTGCTAGATGTTCAGCATCTGACAGAATCAATCTTACAAAATATGAGCAGTGGCTATCCATAGGGAGCATTTATATCTGTTAT